TAACGTAGTTGATAAGCGAGTTAGCCAGACAAGCGAGTTAGCCAAAAATCCCTCACCTTACATTAACACTATCAGATCAATTAAATCTCAACCACCAAATATATCACAGCCTTCAAAAGAAGCTCGAGTTATTCTTGCTCTTCAAGCCCTTCAAAATGACCCTAAATTAAGTTTCCGACGCGCTGCTCAGATATATGAAGTTGACCGTAATACCCTAAGGAATCGGAAGAATGGTAGACAATCATGACGCGATACTATGGCAAACTCACGGAAGCTATCAAAGCTAGAAGAAGAGACTGTACTTTAATATGCTCTTGATCTAGATTCGCGAGGACTCCCTTACCGGATCTCTGTTGTTAAAGATATGGCAAATCGACTACTTGCTGCCCGCGATGCACCACCAGTTGGTAAGCGCTGGGCTATCAATTTTATTCAGCGGCAACCAGAGCTTAAATCGCGTTATCAGCGGAGGTATGACTATCAGAGAGCCTTATGTGAAGATCCGACTATTATTCGCAATTGGTTCAGGCTTATAGAGAATACAATTGCGAAATATGGTATCTGATTAGATGATATCTGGAACTTTGATGAGACCGGCTTTATGATGGGTATGATTTCAGCCGGCAAAGTAGTCACAAGTGCAGAGAGGCGTGGAAGGCCAAAATCAGTCCAGCCTGGAAGTCGAGAATGGGTTACTGTGATCGAGGCAGCCAATGCAGAAGGTCAATCGATCCCGCCGTTCATCATAGTTACAGGCAAGCATCACCTTCGTAACTGGTATGAAGGAAGCAGCCTCCCGGCCGATTGGGCTATTGCCACGACTCCAAATGGATGGACAAATAATGACACGGGTCTCGACTGGCTAAAGCACTTCGATAAGTATACAATCAACCGATCAGTTGGTTCCTATCGCCTTCTGATCCTCGATGGTCACGAAAGTCATCACTTGACCGACTTTGAAGCATATTGCAAGGAAAAGAACATTATCCCGCTTTATATGCCTCCTCATTCCTCTCATCTACTCCAACCTCTTGATATCGGGTGCTTTGGGCCGCTGAAAAGGGCCTATGGTCGAGAAATTTAGCATCTCATAAGACGCTCTATAACCCACATCACCAAGACCCAGTTCTTTCCTGCCTTTTATGCCGCCCACCAAGCTGCTATTACAGAAAGCAATATACGAGGAGGTTTTAGAGGGGCCGGGCTTGCTCCCTTTGACCCAGAAAATGTCATCTCGAAGCTTAATATACGGCTATAGACCCCAACGCCTCCCAAAGAGGATATAAGCCAGGCTCAACCTTGGACCCCAAAGCAGCGCTGCCCTCAAATCAAACAAATCAAATCCGGGGTCATATTTGAGATATTTGATAACTCTCAAGACTGGATTTGTTGTTTGAAATATTTATTCAAATATTTCAAATATTTCAAATCTGACTCTCTATGCTTCCATGCTAACATCTCCAATCTCCCATTGGACCTCGTCCCCCCCACCTATTGTCGCCCCTAGCTTCACCGCACCATGTCTGACCCAGTTCTTAAGGCATTGTAACTTCTCCAGCGTTTCCGTCGTCATCGAAAGCCTCTGCGTCATCAGCGTTAACTTGGCTAGGCTGAACGACCTCTCGCAATCAGTCGCCATCGCCGGTATCGCGAGCATATCGAGAGCCAATTGGCTGATCATCGGGAATTGCCCCTGATGAGCCATCCACCACTCAATTGGGTCCTCAGTCTCTTGCGGCTCTAGCCGTAGATACCGCTCAAGCTCACTTCCCATCACCGTGGTCTTCGCCGTCCTGCTTTTGATCCATTGCTTGAATACGCTAGCTTCCGTTGTCTTCCTTAGTATGCTTAAGGATATCAATGTGTCCATGATCATCTTCTGCCGCTCATCCACCGGCCGGCTGCAGCGGTACCAACGGTCGAGGTAGTCAGACAGTCCAATCTTGGCATCCCTCACCCACACAAGCTGCTCTTCCGATGCCCAGTTCACCTCTAGATAGTTCATGCCAAGTGATGGGTGGAGGATGATGGATGCAGCGAACAACGGTGAGTCTCCAAGCTTGGTGTAGTACTCGTTTAGTTTCTGCCAGGCAGTCATGATGGACAGTCTTAAATAGTGTCGGTGATCCTTTCCCATGTCATCGATTCCTAATGATCCTGATGGCTTGCCTGATCCATCATCGCATTGTCTCGAGCCACGATCTGACAAGGGGCCTTGCCTGGACTTTCGCGGATGGATATCCGTCTCGCAATCCCTAAATCGAGCAGGAAGCTGCCGGTTACGGTCTGGTCGCCCTCGAGCCAGCTCGGCCTGCGAGTTGGTGTCCTGTCCCCCTGCCTCGCCTGGAACGGCATGATGGAACAGCTTCCGATCCTCTAGGTGTTCCAGCAAGTACTCCATACCCGCCATCACTTCCCAGAGCCGTCCGTTACCTCCCTCGCTGCTCCAACCCTGCGTTCTCATAGTCTGTAGATAGAATGGCTCAAGAATAAGTTTGATTTCTGCCAACAGTCTCCAGTCATCTCCCTTCAGCATGTCGGCCTCCGGTAGCCATTTCTCCACTTCTGGGTGGACCAGGAACGCTCTGATGTCTCCCTGCTTGACGAGCGCTCGAGAGATCATGAGGTAAGTGGAGTTCCATCTCGTATCGTTATTCATTACGACCTCTAGCTCCGCCGTTGACTCACTCGCCAAGAGGTATTCTTGTGCTTCGTCGTTCTCGTGTGAGATCCTT